CCAGAAGTGTCTTGTTTAACATCTGCTGGCTGGGCTGGGCCCTGTGCAGAACTTGGGTCAGTGACCTTACATTATCCCTGATCTAGGGTCTAATTCTGTACCATGCTATTCACTGTTGGCTGCCTTCATGGTTATGCCAGGTTGCTGAGCTCTATTTCTCATGAACACCACCATTTACTACATAATTCTGCAGCCCTTAATGAAGTTAAGAGGAACAGAGGTTAGGCCAGCTCCTCCAATGTGACCAACTGTTCAGCAATCTTAGCTTGATGTTGTTCCTCTGATAATGCTAGAGTTTCCTTGGACTTCCATTGAGTTAAAATTAGAAATTCTGCAAATAAGTATGTGATACCATGAAAGAAACATTTTTCCTTCTTGTCTACCAATCCATATCAGACTCAAAAAATGGCATACATTGTCACAATTAGATATCCTTTTATATGTTAAGGTTATTATTTGAACCAATCCATTGCCCCCAACCCCATGCCCCTTTCCCAAACCAATGAGCAGGCAGAACGTGTTTGTGCTACAGGCCACATTCACTGACACTTGTATTTTCATTTGTTTTCTAACAGTCACAGTGGAGACCATAACCATAAATGTACAAAATAGTTTGTTCTTTTCTACCAGCTTACTTTTTTAGGAACCAAAGATAGTGAAGTAAGTTCAATGTGCTTAAAAATGTCCACTCAAGTGGGAATTTCTGTGCCAAAAGTGTCCTATAAGTTATCATACATTCTGCAAGGTCACTTGGGGTGCTGAAAGTCAGAATTCAACCGTCAGAGGTTACCTGTAGGGAATCTGTATCTTAATAAAATCACCAAAGTTAAGATCTGAAAAATGTTGCCCTTTTACTTTTCTTAGATTTTGGCAGGGAGCATAGTCCTTTACTGAGAGGGACTGTGGCCAGTAATTTTACCTCCACATTGTTCCACACTCTATTTCAGGCTGACTGTTGTACATGCTCTTCCTTTTTCCATCTCATCTACCATTAAATAAATGACTGCCCTGGCTGGATCAGAGGAACCAGGAAACAGAATGTTACTCAGCATGCAGTTGACATTGCCCCCTAATGCTTCCAACAACTTCCCCTATCAATATCTCTGAAAGGGCCAGAAAATTCCAGTGGATTGCTGATGCCCATTCATGTATATTGCAAATGTGTTCTATGTCTCACTCAATAAAACCACTACCGTTTTACTGAGTTATGCCAAGACAGAGTTCTTTAGCTATCTCATTGTTCTAGGTGAAATTACAAATAAATAAAATCTCTAATGAGTTAATTATAGATCTCCAAATGGAGAAAGGTAAAAGTTAATTGACTGGATCAGGTTCACAGAACAAGTTAATAAAGGTAAAACAGATGAAGAACTAAGGTCGGATAATTTTCTTCTAGGGTTATAATAAAATCTATTTTCTTTTGGAACATAGATTGACCCATCCAAATAACACCAAGGGAAAAATCAAATAATATGATTTTCATTCTTTATAATTTCACTTTGGCTCAAAGATAATGTTGCAATTATTTCTAATTTTACTTTCTTCGGTTATTAAAGTAACTAGTATGTACCAGAATGACTGCTTCTAGACTCTTTTCTTCACTTAATACTGATACATCTAAGAGTAGACAAAGAATAAGATAGCTGTTTACATGTCCTAGCAGTGCTTTAACTGTGTTCCATTTTTATTTTTTAAATAGCCATTGTATAGTGACTTATCCCATCTCTAGGTGTTTTACATGCTTTTTCTATATCCACAAAAACATGTAAGGGATATATTATCATCATGACTCTACAGAAAAGTTACATAACATATGAACTAATTATCTCAGTGCCTGACATGTAAGAATTTCTCAATACATATTAGCTAAAATTACCATTATTTTCCCTAAGTTCATACAAGCTACTAAATGGGGGAATTTGAGTTCAAACACAAGTAAAACAGAATGCTTTTGCTCCTGTACACACATGGCCTCAGTTTTCACACACTGACTCAATTTTGTGAGCAAAAAGCTATCTCATCCTGTTTATCTGAACAGCTAGAGAAAGTATTGTATAAACTATATTTATCTGTCAATTTCTCTAATATTAATTTATGTGTATGTGCACCTGAGGGTCTCACTGTTTTATTCTGTTCTGGTTTTGTTTTTAGCTTTTCATATGGTACACTATCATGTTTTTAAGAGCACCTTTAGACCAAGAAGGATGCTTATTTTCCTTGGGGATGGGAGGAAGGTGTTAATGGAGAGGCGTATAAATGTGAGATGAAACAGTCCTGTTCCAGGGAAGAGCAGGGAACTTCCCCCAAGGCAGAGGCTCCTAGCACAACCTTACACAGCAGGTTGGGTGATACCTCTTTCTAAAAA